TTTCAATCTCTTCTGTGCCACATAAAAATTAGCTAATATTTTATTCATATTCTTAATAGCTGGAAAATTTTATTGTAATTAATTTCTGTATGTCTGAATTATTGTCTTCTCGGAGTTGTTTTAGATAATTGCATCAATTTTTTTACTAAAATCTTTCACTATAAAGATAATTTCTTTACTTCTTTTTATGACCCAGAGAGGGCCAAATGTTGGGGTTTTTTGTTCTCAACGCGAAATAGCCCACATGAAAGATCCGTGAGTGCGTTGCCTTTCTTTACTGTCAATCCACACAGAAAAACTGTATTGTGTATTTTTTTAAGGAATCAGAATGTAGTTTTTTAGTGGATGCATTAGCAAGATAAAAATTGTGTCTTTTTTTTAAGGAATCAGAATGCAGTTTTTTAGTGGATGCATTAGCAAGATAAAGCCTCTGTAAGATGCTCATAGGAGTACCCAGAATGGCTAATTAATCCCTTTCCACCTAGGCTCTAACTCTGAATGTGAAGCTAAATTCTCCCATTGCAGGTAATGGTGCCGTTTTTTGCCATCTGTACAACCTTACTGAGGTAATCGATACCCTGTCATCAAGTAGTTTGAGATAAAATTATCCATACCTATTAGAAGCAGTGAATTCTGGTTTTACATCCTCTCTTTCAATCTCTTCTGTGCCACATAAAAATTAGCTAATATTTTATTCATATTCTTAATAGCTGGAAAATTTTATTGTAATTAATTTCTGTATGTCTGAATTATTGTCTTCTCGGAGTTGTTTTAGATAATTGCATCAATTTTTTTACTAAAATCTTTCACTATAAAGATAATTTCTTTACTTCTTTTTATGACCCAGAGAGGGCCAAATGTTGGGGTTTTTTGTTCTCAACGCGAAATAGCCCACATGAAAGATCCGTGAGTGCGTTGCCTTTCTTTACTGTCAATCCACACAGAAAAACTGACGATAAACCTACCTCACAAGTATTCTCAATAATAATTCTAATCAAGCTAGGAGTAAAGCCCAGCAGTGATCTGTACCTAGACATACCTCAAAATAACTGGGGCTGGGGCGGAGCCGGCCGGACCCGCCTGGAACCGGTTGGAACCGGCTGGCGCCAGAACGAGGCTGCCCTGAGCCCGCCTCACAGGGGCCTCGACGCCCACAGGCGCCTCATGATTCTGGAAAGCTGCTGGTTTCTCTCACAGAAATGACTGGGTTTATTTAATTTTTTTTAAATTTTTTTTGGTTGGGTGAAGCTGGGTGCAAGGAACGTGTAGAAAAAAAAAATAATCTGTGGAAAAAACTGGAAGAATTCTGTGAGAAACATTCTTCTCAGAGGCAAATTGGAAATTAAAATTAGAAGGCAGTTAATAACTAAAGAACCTGTATTAGACTTTGAAGATAATTAAGTAAGAAGAGATATTCCAGGTTTACTTATGAAAAACTTTTAAATTTATAGTATAATTTTGTGTGGGCCATTGGCTGGCTGGCTGTGAAGTGAAAATAGACATTTATATGCAGAGAAGCTGGCTATCCAGAATCGTTTCACCAAAAGCAATAAATAAATGGAAACAACCGTTCTGTGAAGAGAAACTTTTGAAATTACTTGAAGTAATGGTAAGAATGAGGCTGGTTATCTTTTCCTGTAAATGTTGTTACTGACTGCAGAGTGGAAAGGAATCAAGATTATATAAAATAAAGCAGAGTGCTTAAAACAGGTTTGTGCAGCTTTGAATCACTTACTAAACTTCTGGTAAAATCCTTAGATTTGGGGTGATAGGAAGGATCCTCGCTTCAGATATGGTGGGGGAAATTGGATGGGAAGTCAAGAAGTCCCTTTTGAGAAGACAGAGTTTTTCTAGACAGGCTAAAATCTATTAACTGCCTGCAGTTTTCAATTTTTATATTGCTTTTCCCTGTTTTATTGGTATGCTTAATTTTATCAGTGTTTTTCAGGTGTACTAGAAGCAATATCCAAAGTCTGCTTTGTGTCCTGTCATGGAGCCTTGTGTTGTGAGGTTAACAGTTCTCATTAGCCCTTGATTATCCTTTGTAGTTTGCATGTATGTTTTTGTCAAAAATTAAATTGGGGTTTAGCTTCAAAAGTTCCTGAAAATATGATTGGTTAGGTTATGATGAATATAACTTCATCATTATAAATGTAATTCCATAACTTTTAAGTTGAAACATTTAAAGCATAGTCAGTCTTATCAGGTTTTCACATATTAAATAGCTACAGAGCTCTGCAGATTTTTTTTTTGTCAATTTGCCCAAATTTATCTCTATGCTTAACACTTTTCCTTTGAGTTATGTTACAAACAGGTAGGAACTTGGATACTTTCTGAATGTTCAATTAGAATCTCTTGCTATCAAAAGAATGAATGCAGTATCTTTCGTACATCAGTCATGTTTGACGTTAAAACTAGGTAGGCTTTCCCGCCTTTTTTCTTTATTGAAAGACTGAAATCTCGTTCTTCTGATAGTTAGGCACAATCTAATTTTCCACCTGGTTTTATTTACAGCCTGTTCAAAGTAATTTGGTTTTTGTGCCAATATTGTCTTTTACTTGAATGCTTCTTTCTCCTGCATGTGCTGGGTTTCTTTAAGTAACAGTATACTTTTGTTGCAGTTTTTTTCTTTCTTTACTCTGTTGTATTTTTTGTTTTGTGGGTGGTGGGGCTATTACTGATTTTTTTGTGAGGTTTTTTTTTTTGGTTGGGCAAGATAAGATATAAGGCAGCTTCTTTCACAAATTCTCGTGTAAAGATAGATGGTCATAATTTTGGTGCTGCAGGTTTTTATTTTGAAAACATTGTGGACTAATGGGTTTGAGAGGAGCTGTTGAGTTAACCTATAATACTTAGGACAAACCTGGAAATTATTGTACAAAGACTAATAAAATGAAGTGCTTTGTCATGTTGATAAAATGAAACGGAAATCGTGTGACCATTCCTACAGAGCTGTAAACCTAACTTTTTTGGCCAGTTGATCTCAGACACAGTGGACTTGGCAAAAAATAAAGTAAATCTATTTCAGTCATTAATAAGAATCTCCTATTCTCTTCCTTAGTCTGCGCGAATCTGGGGAAAAAAGTTCTTAGTGTTAGATCAGCCTTTGCGTTAGATGACTTGTAATTCTGATAAAACAGCTGAAGTAGTTTTTTAAATTTAGCAAAGTCTTTGTTCTTTCCAGTGAGCAGTATAGTCACTTAATATTGAGAGATAGATTAAGAGCAAATTATCTTGAATTTGAAAATGAATTTGCTGGAATTTCACAGAGAAATATTGCTATTCTTCCATTTCCCAAAGCAATTAACATAGTTTCGATGAGTCAACATTTACAAAGATAAATCTTTTTGTCAGCAGTTTCCAACTGTATCTGAAACTGAATCTAGCTTTAATGTAGTTCAGTAATAAGACTGCATTTTCTTTCCTAGTCCCCATTACATTATATGCAATCCTAAGATTACTACATTGACTTTAGAATACGGAGTTAAACAAGCCTTGGGAATTGAAGGGGCCTGTGCCTCCATAAAGGTTCAGCTGTGCCAATGCCCCATGAATCAGTTGTCTTCATGTCAGAGCATTTGTTTGCTTTCAAGGTGTTAAGCAATATAGCTAGTAAAATATAAGGCTTGGGAAAAGCTTGCAAGAACAATTGCTGGAGAAGTGAGGATAAGGAGCGAGGAGATGGTAAAATGGACTGTGGCAGTATTTACAAAGAGTGCATGTGAGTAGATAGTTTACTCATAACAAATACTTCTACTCACACCCAGCACAGTGAACTGTAAAAGTGGAATGTACTTATAAGCGTAACAAAATACAGAGAGATGTGATAATAAGCCATCCATTTTAATAAGGAATTAGAATTCTGACCTAATTCTTTCCCAGTAGGATTTATCACTAGCTTATAAATAACTTACAGGTATAAGACATGGCAGTGAAGCATAAATTAGCAGAATAAACAAAATGCTCAGAGACTTTCTAACCCCTGATGCTACTACTTTCTCAGGGAAAGACTGGAAAAGGGTGATATTAAGGTCTGTGCTCAGGTTCATTTTCTGGCTGGCTTAACTCCATTAAAGAACTGAGTCCAGGGACGGGTAGGGTACATGAAAATGATAGGTGTGTTTCTCATAAGTTTGTTGCTGTGTTTTACTGACGTCTTGGTGAGGTGAGGGAACTGCAGTTACATCATGCAGTTGCAATCTAAATTTACATTTTCTATTATCTAAGAAGTTTTGACATGGTTTGCCCTAATGACCGATTAAGTTTTGGTAACTCATTGTGACTTTCCATTGCAAATGGATTGGATGATCAAGATACATTCTGTGATTTTCTTTTCCAGTGTTTTTGAAATAAACGAAGTCCAAACAAATCATCAGATGCATTTGTCAGCTTTATGTTCAAGAGGGGCTTTCATACATTGTGATGTGTGTATGAATACCTGTTTATATAAGACTGCATATGTTGTTCTGTCCTTCCATACCGCATTTAAAAAGCTGGAAAATGGTCAAAATTACCTAACATAATATTCATGCCATCATCATTGAGAAAATGTATTTAGTGTGTCTAAAGCATTCTTGGTTTTGTTTTTTTTTTTAAAAGACTTAACTGAGCATTTGGAGATATGTCAATTATACTGTGATGGTTTTATTTGTGTCTAAATGTGCTTGAATAATGCAAAGAAGTGAATTCTGACTGAAGGTTTGCATGGTTCATATGAAATTTATAGGGGGCCTTTTTTTCTTATATTCTAGTCATTTCATTCTTCAGGGAATATGGTGTTTTTGAACTGCCAAAGGGTATCTTGATTTGAATGTACATCTCCCTTTCTCTTTTGCTGAGATTTAAAATCTGCTCTGAGCCCGGTCCAAAAGAACGGGCTACAAGTGGTACCCTTGGCAGGATCTGGTTACAGCAGCACTGATCTGAGCTATTTTTTTCTTACTCTTTGCTTGTTGTGATAGTGAACTAATGAACTTACTCCTTTCTTTTTGTTCATACAGCTTGAAGTTGAAGTCACAGATATCAGCGGGAGAACCATCGATGGTCCAGTCCGCCTAGATATTGCTGTTATTGATCAAAATGATAATAGGCCAATGTTCAAAGAAGGACCCTATGTTGGCCATGTCATGGAGGGATCCCCTACAGGTGAGTCCATGCCAATCGTATCTCTGTGTAACACCTGAACAAATTCTGTGTTAATAAATGCGTTATTATGATATTATATAACTTTTCTTGCTAATTTTGTGGCACACTGAATCCTTCCCCAGCATAAAGAAGTGGGAGCAGCCCTTTAGGACAGCAGGTAATGATTTTTTTAAAAACAGTCAATTCTCTGCAGTAAAAAAGAAGAAAAAAAGCAAAATAACACAGTTTGTGATGAAAGCTTTGATTTAGGTTTACACTTTTTTATCCATATCTGGAATCAACAAAGACAACCCCTAGGATATGATTAGGATTCAGACCAAACAAGATGTACAATTTCTGTTCAGAAATTGTTCAGAAATTGTACCACCTTTTCTCTGTTAGGTTAGCTGCTGGAAGGGTTGTTTTTATTTGTTTATATAGCATGAGGCTAGGTAACAGGAATAAATGGAAAGCACATTATGAATATGCTAATATTGTAGGGCAGATTGAAATACTGAACAGTGTTAGTTGTGTAAATGCAGATACAACAGTTGCAACAAAATCAAAACACACTTTGAGAATTAAAGTTTGTAATGAAAATGTTCTGAGTAAATTCATTGTTGATTTTATGTGATGATGAAATTCTGTAAGAATAAGACACTGTTCCAAATTTCAATTTAAAGAACAAAATAGCTAGGTGGTGGTTACCCTACCTAAACTCTTCCTGCAGATGAAGGCTGAATTAGGGTGTTGTTTTTTTTTCAACTGTCATCCTCAGCTGTTGTGCAATTTTGTTGTGAGTTACTAAACAGCTGTTGCATTCCACTTGAGAGGTATCTCCACTGCATTTGCAAGCACAAGACTGTATCCTCCTTATACAGTTGAAGCTGTGAGTACAGACATAAGGTTTTGGCTGTATACACATATTGAAATATTTTGAAATGAAAACTGGAATCAAGTATATTATATTTTTATGACTATTTAATATTCATTAAAGCTTAATGTGGTGACATGTGCTTTGTTTACTCTGAACAAGGGTAGACATTGCCTTTCATTTCCTTGTATTCCATAGTGATAGGAATAGAAGTTATTCTTTTTCCTTATTTTATTATTTTTGTAGTTCCTAGAAATCATGTAACCTTTTTCATGAGGTTTGCATTTTCACATATAGTTGCCATTGTTTGAAAAGCTGTAGGTCTCAAATGTGTTATGAGCTGTTCCTTCATCAGATTAAAAAATGTGTTCAGGTAAATGTTCTTTTACTTGTGACAAGCATGTAGTGAATCAATTGACGAACTTTTCATTCAAACAAGAAATATGTTTCATATTTGTGAGTATGGCTGCAAGTAAAACAGTAACTCTTTTGTTGTAACTCTGTAGCATATTCTTAATTTATTTCAGATATTGATCACTTACTGAGAATTCAAAAGAAACTTGCCATTCCCCCTATGTTGTAACAGGAGTTTCATAATTAACTGAGAATATATTGCTAACAAATGTCAGAGTTTCCTTTGCATAATCGGTCAATATTATGTGACTAATCAAATCAAGGGACCAACTTTATTACGTTTTCATTTAAACTACAGCATCTTCTTGTCATGCTCATTTAGGTACACATTCCTAGACCACAGTGTAGGATGGTGTAGTTTTAGTAGATTTACAGCCAAATCTGATATTTCAGTAAAAGAAAGTGGTGCCAAACAGCTCGAACTGTGCAGTGTTTAAGCTTTAATCCACTGGTAGCATATGAGCTCTGGATATGAGCTGTGAGTTCCTGCAAGTCTTTCAATCTAAGCAGAATTTTACATCTCTGACATACCCCATGCCCTTCCCAAACAATATTTAGTCTGTTTAGCTTTGAAGGTTAATTCCAGGCTATGGGACAATATTTAGCTGTTGTCTGCTATACAGTTTTACTTTACTGAAACTTTTTATCAAGTTTCTTTTCTTTGCCTTGGATATTTTTTTTTTTTAACTGGCAGTTCCCTATTTTTGCTCATCTACAAACTGTCTTCGCTTTTTCTTTTTTCACTCCTTATACTGAAGTTTATGCCTCTTATTCAGTATGCAGATTTCTCAGTCCAACTTCCACTGAATTCTTCTGTAATTGTTTTCTCTTGCTGCAGTTTGTTATTTATCGTGCAGCATTTGGCATTTTGATTGTCTTACCTGTTAATAAAATTTTAAATAATTTTTCTCATTTCCATCTTTTTCTTATTCTCTCTCTCTTTCCCTCGGGTATTCATCCCATGAAACTTCATAACCTCATTTTCCTGGTGTCAAGAACACCAATACTTGCAAAATTATTTTGTGCAAAAGTGAACCTGTAGAACCAGTATTAGCTAGAATCTGTCATAGTTCTCTATGCAGATGGCATCCTGTCAAACAAGACTTCATGTTGTTTACATCTGTTTTCCATAGTTCTTCAAATTTTATGGAATATATCTTGAAATTATTCATCAGATTCTGCTGTCTTGCTGCTCCCAATCAATAGTTGCACTGCACAGCTTGATAGAAATCTTTATATGCGTGTGTTTGCATGTACGATTCCTGATTTCTTCTTATTGTACTAAAATTGTATTGTTGTATTTCTTTTTTTGAAGTTCCAAAAGAAAGGTTTTGCATTATATGCATAATCTTATTTCTTACCACAGCTACCTTCATCTTCTTTTAAGCTCTGAATCCAACCCATTCAGTGGAACAGTCTTCTGCTGAAAAATAAATAATGCTCATATAGCCATCTTGGATCTGTCTGCCTGATCGTTGGGTCAAAGTGTAAATGTCCATGGATTCTAATAATACAATCATGAGAGGTGTATAATTCTGTAGAAAACAGAATAATTCTGTAGATACAGCTATATTAGACTCTGAAACTTGCCTGAAGGATTTTGTTAAGGGATTCAGATGATATTATTATCTTGCTTTAAGTTATTCATTGCTGGGTTCCTGTGTGTTTTCCTGGGGGGCCATAATTCTAGCAGCACAAACCCAATGGAATTTTCTAGTTACTTCCCATATATTTATTGACTATAAAATTGCACTTGCAAATTGTTGCGGCAAATAAGGGCACGGACTCCGCCAAGTGATGAAGCGAAGACGTTTAATGTTTTATTTTTACAGCATATATAGTTTCTCTCTTTTGATCATGCGTTGTGCTCTCTACACAGATAGGTTTTGGGGCCTGTCCACACACCTTATGAGCAATACAATTGGCTACATAGAAGTGTTCATGTGCCTATGTTATCCAAACATTATTATCTGTTATTTTCCTCACTAGATTTCATACCACACAAATAATAGCATATAAAGACATTGTTTTACTGTTCTCAAGGCTTCCTTCCCATCACTACAAGAACACCTGCCGAGCTCTCACTCAGCAGCGCGTCTCCACAATTCCTCACTCCCCACACATTGTCTATTATTCATCAGAAATATCAAATATTTACTAATAAATACATCTTGGAGAGAGTTAGCATCAGAAATTCAAATATATAAATCTTAATATTCAAGTGAATGTTTTTATTGGACTTCCTTGATGTTGCTGCTAGCTTTTTATTGTTCTCCAAAATGACTTCTTTCCTTAAGGATTTGAAAGTTTAGTTCCTTAATTAGGGAAAGACACAGAATTTACAAGATTAGAGTGAAATGCTGTGCCAAGCCCCTTTTAAGGACCCTCCTTTTTCTGCCATTGGAGATAGTTACAAATAGAAGAAAACAAAAGAGAACATGGATTTAATGTGTAATTTTCATATTTATTTGATCTGCCTATGAATAATTAAAGAATCTTGTGTGCATAGTCCCAGTGAGGCTGTGTTTTGGTGGTGTTTTTAATACATTTTCTGTGTTATTAAGGCCATTCACCTTTTTTTTGTGTGCAATTTTTGAACTCAGAGTAAACACTACTGATTATTTGGAGATCTACAATTTGTGTGTCATCGCTTTAATAGAGAGGCCAATACCTGGTCATAATTACTGAGAATATAAGCTTGTACATGTGTTACATGAATAAATACTCGTCTGCATTTCAAGCTAGGGCTTTCCACAGCTTATAATTAACGATAAAAATATGTAAATGGTAGGTGACATATTTCTTTCTTGATATATCTTTCCTGGAGAGATTTCATGATATAGTTAGTTACAGTTAATTAGCAGTTTTCATGGAAAATTGTCGTATTTCTGGAAATAGCCTAGAGTCAAATTCTAACAAAAGTGCACTGAAATGTATGCTTAAAGTCACCATAGATGTCTTCAGATATCTATTAGGAGGTCTTTTCCTGCAAACTGCAAACTTGGAGGCTATTTATTTAAAAGAAACCTAACCAAACAACCACCAAACAAGCAAAATAAATTTAAAAAAGGTAGAGCAGTTGAGAAATAGTTTACATTTAAAAATAAATAAAATTATAAAGTCTCTAGTTTCTGTATGAAATTGAACTCAGAATATATATATATATACACACCAGCAAAATAATAGTTGAGCTTGATTCAGTGACACCTATGGGAATTTTTCTACTGACTGTAATGGTGTTTATGTTAACTGTACTGCTGATTTCTCACATTTGTTTTCTAAGTTAAGACCCAGTTTATTTCCTATAGATCTCTGGTCCATTCAGTTGCCAGCTCTAGGGTTTAGGATCTGTGTCCTGCTGCAGATTTACCTCAGTACCTTAATGAGAGTGACTGTAATGGATTACATAAGCAGGCAGAAACATTTGGACGTCTCACTCTTTAAAGGTTGGGAAGTGAAGGCTGGTTAAATGAACTTGGCAGCCATCTCATTTCACTTGCTAGAGGCATTTAACAGAAATTATATTAAACACATTTGACATTATGTGACTTGTAACAATATGCTGCAAGCCCAGTGGGGTCAAATCTTAACTGCAGTGTTTGGGAGAATTGCTTGAGAATTGCATGTAAAAAAAAGTAACTTGTTTTCCATGATGCACAATAGCCTGAATACATTGCATTCCCAGCAAGGAGCCCCAGACCAGGACTGATATGTGTCTATAAATAATTACTAG